TAGGCGGATCTCTGTGAGTTCCAGGCCAGCCTGGTCTACAGAGCAAGTTCTAGGACAGACTCCAAAACCACAGAGAAACCCTGTCTTGAAACACCAGAACAAACAAACAGAGGGTCCACCAATACTTACACGAGTAATTTCAGGCTCAGAGTCTGTGTGGAATTGAGAGTTTACCACTATTTTGTGTCTAGATTTCTTTCTTTCAAACACACAGTTACTCCAAAGAGTTTTGTCTGGACCATAGCGCAGAAGAGAAACCCTGTTTCAAAAAGAAAGGAAGGAAGGAAGGCAGGCAGGCAGAAGGAAAGAAGGAAGGAAGGAAGGAAGGCAGGCAGAAGGAAAGAAGGAAGGAAGGAAGGAAGGAAGGAAGGAAGGAAGGAGGAAGGAAGGAAGGAAGGAAGGAAGGAAGGAAGGAAAGTTTTGACAAGTATTTTTGTGTATACAAGCTTTAAACCACTTATAAGGAGCACACTATTGTGAGAATGCTGTGCATTTCACTATGTGTCAATATTTAAGCATTCTACATTAAGTGTTAAAAGTGGAAGATGACAATTGTCCTTCAAATAAATGAGGTGACACCAAAGAGTAGTTTTTGTTTGTTTGTTTGTTTGTTGTTTTTTGTTTTTAGAGACAGGTTTCTCTGTGGCTTTGGAGGTTGTCCTGGAACTAGCTCTTGTAGACCAGGCTGGTCTCAAACTCACAGAGATCTGCCTGCCTCTGCCTCCCGAGTGCTGGGATTAAAGGCGTGCGCTACCACTACCCAGCTTATTTTATTTAAAGCTATTATTCCCACCTGTGATTTCAAATTGTTGGGATGAAATGGGAATTCATGTAACATGATCCACATGAAGCACCTCAAAGAGTAATTAGAAAACTGGTCTGATGTTACTGTTCTTCAATATACTGAGGATTGTTTTGTTTTGAGGTAGGGTCTTGCCACATAGCCTTGGATGGCCCTGCACTCACTATATAGTCCAAACTGGACTTGAACTTGCAGCAATCCTCCTGCCTCAGCCTCCTTAATACTGGGATTACAGGTATACACCATAATGATTGGCTTAAAGAACTTGTTTAGAAATGCTTCAGGTTTGGTGTGTGGTAATTATAACTATGAAATTATGAAATGGAACAACAATAAATTGGATTTCTGTCTTGGCTAGTTTTATGTCAACCTGACACAAAGTAGAGTCGCCTGAAAGAAAGGAACCTTGATTGAGACAATGCCTCCATAAGATCCAGCTGCAAGGCATTTTCTTAGTGATTGACTGGCAAGGACCCAACCCATGGTGGGTGGTGCTATCTCTGGTCTAATGGCCCTGGGTCCTATAAGAAAGGAGACTGCTTATGGTTTACACGACGTCCTATCAACAGATTTCTGGTGTCCAACAAATTCAGTTTTCGTGATCTGAAGAAATTATGGAACCAGGCTGGGCTGTGGAGAGACTCCAACCAAGTCTGGAACAGGCATTGGGAGGAAGTGAGGGCAAAGACTCCTCTGTGTAAAATAAGTAGCTGTAATGTAGCTTCCTGACACTTGGCTAATTGAGGTGTTAATTCTGACTTGAAAATCTTTTTCATAAATGATTTTAAAGAAAAAATTGGATTTTAAAGGTATTAAAATATTTTTGTTTTTTGTTTTTTTTTTTTTTTAAAAAAAAGAAAGCAGACTGCAAAGTCCTGGGAGCAAGCCAGTAAGCAGCACCCTTCGATGGCTCCTGCATCAGCTCCTGCCTCCAGGATTCTGCCCTGTTTGAGTTTCTATTCTTTCAATGAGCAGTACTGTGGAAGTATAGACTAAATAAACCCTTTCCTCTCCAAGTTTCTTTAGTCATGGCTGTAAGCATTTCAACAGGTTGGATTGAAAGACTTAAAAATTAGCAAAGAAATATAGCCCAGAAACTGACCAAGGCCACTACTATGACTTAGTGCCTGGAATTTACCAACCACCAGCAATTACTCCCTTACAAGGCCATAAGATAGCTGGGTACCAGCACAGGAAGATTTGGTGGACTTTGCAGAGCCCCTGTTAAGGGCCCTACCCTGCCTGGGGAGTAACTGGGTACCAAGAATTCCCAGATGGCTACCCTCCCCTGAGGGGCTCACTGGCCAATGTGTCAACAATTAACAATTTACTCAGGCAAGTTTAGTTAGCACATCCTGAGGTCTTCGGGTTTACAACTGGTGGGTCAGGAGGCCATCTGATTCCCAGCCCTCCCCTCAAGACAAAGGGCCTCCTAGGAACCTGTGACTCTGGTCACGTACTCAACAGCTGTGGCTTTTGCCTTTAAAACCGGCAGTGCCTAGAGGTCGGGGCGGCCCTGGAGCCAAACTTGCGTGCTGAGGAGGCCCGTTTGACAAATGTTCACCTTTCATTAATGCCTCTTGCTGTTTGCATCAAGTTTCTGCCTCCTCATGGTGATTGAGGTGCCCGAGGTCCTGGGATGAGATCCTGGGGGCCTGAGTCTCTGGGGGCCTTTCAGGATCAGCAAGGATTCTGGCACTCAGGAGCCAAAGAGTATTGAGTATTACAACTAGGTTGGAAAGGTATTCTGGCAATCTGGAGCCAAGGAATACCACAGGTCACAGTAAATGTAGTAGCTTACAACCCTGCTTCAGGGAAAGGTTTTCCCAGTGTAACAGCTCTGCTCGATCCAGCAGGGGAGGGCTTCCTGGTGAAGTTGTTACAGCTAAACTCCAGTCTTTTGGAGTGTAACAACTCTGCTTCACTAGGGGAAGGTTTCCCCAGCTAAAGTGTTATAGCCCTGCTCCACTTGCTCTGCTCTACTTTGCTCTGGCTCTAGCAAAAGTTGTTTCTCTCCTCCACTCCATTCCGGCAAAGGAAGGTCTCACCCAAACCTCATTTAAGAGATTTATCAAGAGGGAAGAATCCAGGAGAGTGGCTGCTTCTGCCACGATGGAAGAGGACCAGCAGGACAGACCCACAAGCACAAGCTGAACAGACACGGGGTTTATATAGGGCTTCTTTGAGGCAGAGTTTTTCCAGGGAGATTTCCAGGGTGGAGATTGGTCAGATTTCATTCCCTGAGCTGAGATTGGCTAGATCTTGTGCTCAGGGATTGGTTTTCTGCTCAGGTTCAGGGTCAGATTTGGCTCTGGTTTCAGGGCCAAAGTGTGATTCCTTCACTGGTCCTTTTCAGCCTTTTGGTTCTAATTTTATTTCTTCTGTATTTCTTTCACTGGCTCTGATTCTAGGGCCAAAGTGTGTTTCTTTTGGCTCTGCTCAGGGTGTGTTTCTTTGGCTGGCCTTTTCCCCCTACATTGGTGTTTCATAATAGCAACAGTAACCCTAAGACAATTTCCTTTATACAAGCTATCATTGATTTAAGTAACAACCTTTTATTTTTAAAGAAATCCTATTGAAATTCCATGGCCTGATACATTTGTTTACACCATACCATATCCTTTACTGTGTCAAACTTTGAAAATGTGTCTTGTAGTAGCAATGAAATTATAACTTCGCTGAGTCTTTTATTTCTGCAGTATAGTGGGGGCGTACATCAGCAATTACTCATTTTCGTTTTGCTTCTCTAAAGTTATATGAATGATTAGTCCCTCAATACAAGCTACTAGACTCTACCCACTGTGTTTTCATGGCTTACAGAGACCTTACGTCTTTTGCAACTGTTTCAGTCTTGGAGCTATCCTGTAAAGCGAATGCAATACCCCATCGATCTTTGACATTTTGGTTACAATGGACACGGAAGCTAATAAACAGTCCTAGTTCCAAAAAGAGGAGACTCAGATAAAGTGGGCTTTGGGGCGGCCATTCAGCTCTGGAAATGGAGAAAGTACCCATCTCTACTGTTTCTGCTCCATTATCTTCCTCATTCCTACCCAAGCCATCCAGAGGAATCCCTCCCGGCCCCCAAGTTTGATCTTTCTGCTCATTTCAGGGAGAGAAGTGCTCAGATCAAGCCCTCCCTCATCCTGTTCTGTTCTCTGTTCTGGCTCTGTTCTCTGTTCCCCTGTGCTGCAAGAGCAGGGTTGGCGGGAGGTGCACTCCAGGGTCCGCGCCTCAGCAGTGCGTTCTCCGCCCGCAAGGCGGCGCTGTAGCCGACAGGATCCCGCCCGGCCACCGCCTGGGAGCCGCCTGCGACACGTGCTCCCACTCTGTCCGGGTTCTGGTAACTGCGGGCTCGGTCTCGTGTGCGGGCCTCAGTGGGCCATGGCGGTGGCTGCGGCGGAAACGCGCGTGTTCCTGGAAGTGCGGAGACGGCTGCAGAGCGCGCTGCTAATCCTGGGGTAAGGGCGGAGATTTACTACACAAACAAGAAACCTGGCGGGGAAATAGACTTTTTTAGATTACGGTTAGCAGTTTTAATGTTTTAATGATCTCTTCATAGGTTTTGCCTATTTCTCTGTGACAAGTGTTTCAAACAGACATAGGTCTGAAAATGTGTTCTGGAGCAGCATATCTATCTCTGTATCTCTATATCTGTATATCTGAATTTCCTCAGTTTTACGATTGGGATTGAGTCTAGGCTCAGTGCAACTCATTTGCCTAGCATGTACAGGCTCTGAGATCTCTCCCTAGTATGGGGGTGAAGGGTGAAGTGCTAGATAAAGGAGTGGGGTCATAATTTCAAACAGATATCTTTAAGCTCTGTCCATCTTGTTTGGTAATTAAGAGTACAAACATTCCCAAATACAACCCCTTACCCCCCACACAAACAAACAAACAAAAACCCTGTAAGCAAGTTAAGAAACTTACTTTGCTAGACAGCTTATTTGTCTCTGTTTGACCTTTGACTTCTAGCACCAGTCACTTCCCCTGCACTAGTAACAACCGTGTTCTTCATTCAGCCATTCCACACAATGTCACTGTTTCTGGACCTGTGTTGACACATGTATTAGTCAGGGTTCTCTAGAGCAACAATTTATTGAATGAATCTCTATATATAGAAAGGGGATTTATTACAATGACTTAACAGGCTGCAGTCCAACTAATTCAACAATGGCTGCCTATGTATGAATGGAAAGTCCAAAAAATCCAGTAGTTGCTCGGTTCGTGAGGCTAGATAGCTCAGCTGGTCTTCAGTATACTTAGGAATCCCAAAGAAGTAGGCTCTAACCCCAGTGAAGGGATGAACTTGAGAGCCAGGGCAACTAAGCAAAGAGCAAAGAACTTCCTTCTTCGGTGTTCCTTCCAGCAGAATGTGTGGCCCAGATTAGAGGTGGCTTATCCCAGCTCAGATCTGGATAAAGGCACATCTACCTCAAAGGTCTGGATTAGAAATGAATCTTCCTACTTCAAATTAAGCAAAAATCTCTCACAGGTGTGTACTCCATTTTGGAATTTTAGGTTCATTCCAGATGTAGCCAAGTTGACATAGCTTTCACAGCATGCATTGGGTTTTGTTTCTGCTTTCCCCAGCATTTTTTTTTTTTTTTGAGAGACCATCAAAGACTAGTATAAGTTACTATGTAAACCAGGTTGGCTTTGAACACACAGAGATCTGCCTGCCTCTGCCTCCGCAGCATTGGGAACCTTCAACAGGGCTGTGAGATTCATGGTTCATCTGTGTTGTTGCTTATATTAGTATTCCTTTCCTGTGACTTACTGAGTAATTTTCCATTGTCTGGATATTCCACAAACTCATTCTTCTATTGCTGGATGTTTTGTTTATTTTCAGAAAGTGTTTACTATGAGTCAGCTGCATTAGATTTGCTTTATAAGATTTGTGTGTGTGTGTGTGTGTGTGTGTGTGTGTGTGTGTGTTGGGAGCTGGGTATTGGAACTAGGCAAATGCATTTGCCACTGAGCCACACCCCCAGCCTTGTTTAATGTCTTGTCTTATTATGACATGTATACCCTTGGATTAATACTTAAGGGTGAAATTAGGAAATATCCTACATTATCCTGCAATGTAGGATAGAGGTGCCCAGTTCTTTGTGAGAAACTGTCAAACAGTTCTCTCATGTGGCCAATCTTTTTGGTTTGAGCCATTTTAATGGGGATGAGGAATTATTTTATGGTTTATCCTTGGTGACTTAAAATGTTGAGAACTTTTTCGTCTGCTTTTTGATAATCCAAGTGTGTTATTTTGTAAAGTATCTTATGGTTTCTAACTAATAAAAGCAGGTTCATCTCTAGCTAATAAAAACTGGTTAGTCTTGTTGCTAAGTTGAAACAATAGAAAGCCACATGCGTGAGGATTTGTGGATGTCTTCCTGCATCTGTGGCAGACATTTTTGTTTTCCTAATACACAGTGAATATGTCTTATTGGAAAAGGTCTGGGTGGGCCTGAAGTGATTTTGGACCTTTCTAGAGTTTGTAGTATTTGCATAGACTTCTTGAGCATCTCTAGCAAAGTGGTATGGGTCAGAATCATTTTCATTCCAGCGCATTTTGGCCTTTTGGCTTAGGGGTACTCAGTATGTTGTCTTTTGATGAGCAGAAATTTAAATCTTAATAAAAATCCAGTTTCTCAAGTTTTTTTTTTTTCCAGCCTTGTCTAATATCTTAAATCTTTTTCTACCTCGACTTTGTGAATACTTCCCCCGACCCACCCCAGGTTTCTTTTACCTATGTCTCTATTTAGTAATGGGTCTTGCTGTGCTAGCTAGTCCTTGAACTCCTGGGCTTAAAGGGACCCCTCTGCTTGCCTCAGCTTCCAAGTCTCTGGGACCCTAAGCATGACTGACCCTCTGCTTAGCTTTTCTGCATTTGTTTTTAAGGAGGGTTACCACTTTTGTTTCTATCTCTGGTATATTGGATTAATTTTTTGTGTTCACAGTGAAGTAGGAATCAAAGTATTTATTATCTATGGATATCCAGTTGTTCCATGATCTTTAATTATGGCTGTAATTTTCTCATTGGATAGTTCAATATCTGTATGAGAAATCAGTTCACTACACTGTTTGTATGAACATCCCTTCCTGCCTTTATACTTTAAACTTGTGTCTTTATAAGTGATTTTTTTTCCCCTCCAAGTAGCACACTGTTGAGTGTTTCTGTCATGGAAAATTTGACAATCTGTGCATTCATTAGAATTTTTAGTACCTTTATTTCTTCATATGGTTGAGTTTGGTTCCTCGTCTTTTTTTTTTTTTAACTTTTATATTAGCATTTTAAAGTTAGTAAACAAAGTGATGGGTTTGTACATTCATTGTTTCTCTTGCCCCTTTGCTCCACCCCCACCGGCCCCTCCCCTTCACTGTTCTCTTCTGCTTCAGGGCAAATGCATTCTGTTACCTTCTCTTCCGTTTTCATCTCTCTGTTTCCTTAAAACCTCATTTTTCACTCTCACTGTCCCCTTTCTCATTTTATGACCTACACCCAAACTCACCCCCACAAGTATAAAAATTAAAATCTAGGATCCACAGATGGACGTGGTGGCACACACCTTTAATCTCAGCAGTTGGGGGGCAGAGACAGGCAGATTTCTGAGTCTGAGGCCAGCCTGGGCTATAGTTCCAGGACAGCCAGGGCTACCCAGAGAAACCCTGTCTCCATAAAAACAAAAAAAGAAAAAACAAAAAACAACAACAAAAAAAAAAACAAAAAACAAAACTCGGGGTGAATCCACCCATGAGAAAAACACGTGGTATTTGATTGAGTTTGAATTAATCTGATGAGCTCCAGTTCTATCTGTGTCCTGGAAGTGCCATGATTTCATTTTTCTTTCTGGCAGAATAAAATTTCACTGTGTTTATGGATCACCTTTACTTTGTCCACTCATCCAGCCTGGGTCCATTTCCTTAATGTTGTGGATAGTGCAGCACTCAGCACAGATGTACACGTATTTTTGTGATGGGACTTAAGAGTCCTCCAGGCTGGGCGATGGTCCCAGCACTCGGGAGGCAGAGGCAGGGAGGCAGAGGCAGCTAGATCTCTGTGAGTTTGAGACCAGCCTGGTATACAAGAGCTAGTTCCAGGACAGCCTCCAAAGCCACAGAGAAACCTTGTCTCAAACAAACAAACAAACAAACAAACAAACAAACAAAAGTCCTCCAGATATATACCCAGGACTAATGTAGCACAGTTAGGTGGTAGTTTTAATTTTAGTTTTTGAGAAACTTCCCTACAGTGGCAATACCAGTTTACATTCCTGCTCATAGTAGCAATGGGTGAATGAACAGTGGTCAAGAAATTAAAAAACAAAACAAAAAACCATAAAATACTGAATAGAGTCAACTTCCAGGAAAAATACAACAGACAAAGGTGAGGGGTGGAGACAAAGTCTTTATTTAATGTAACATTTGCTTAACAAACTGTATGGGATGCGGTATGAGATATGAGATGCCAAGTGGAAGAAAGCATACCTAAATGGGCCATTGGGAGAGATGGAAGCCGTGAGGGGTAGGTTCTAGTTAAAGTACCCCTTGCTCTCCTTGCTTCCTGACCACCATGAGACTAGCAGCTCTGCCATATGCTCCTTGCCATGATATTCAGCTTTCCTTCAGGCCCAAAGCAACAGGCCTAAGAGATCATGGTGTTGTAATTTTACAAATGTGGCTTTGAGAGAGAAAGACACCATGGGACAGAGTTCAAATGGAGGGTTTTGTATTAAGGGAAATTGGTGGTAAAAGGGGGAAAGGGAATGGGGTGACAGGCCTCTGGGGACAGGAGCAGTGGGAGACAGGGTGGGGGGAGGAACTGGGAAGAGGAAGAGGAGGGACGGAGGGGGAGAGGGAGAGATGGGAGTTGGGCAAGGTCCTTTTAAAAGGGAACGTAAGTGAATAGGCACAGGTGGTGCTCTTAGTGGCAGCAGCTGAGGGCGTATCCTGTCAGAACTCCAAAGGCAGGCCAGTACAAATGCCTAAATACTAACACATGGACTGAAATGACTGAAGCTGGAGATAACTTGAAAATTTCTTTTTAAGTTGCTTTTCTCAGGTATTTTGTGACAGTCACAGGAAGCTGACTAATCTAGTACTTACTTCATGGCCAAGTATTTAGTAACCTGATCTCTAGTAACAAAATAAGCCAAAGGTCTTGATTTGCAGCATTTGATGATTTCTGTGGTGTAAATATTTTCACCATGATGACATTTAGCCTGCAATATTTGCAGTTTTTTCCTGTTATTTGTATATCACTGAATCTTACAGGTTATCATAAGTTTGCTTGCTGCTTTTCAGTGAGCTGTGTAGACCTTGGATAGCTTAAAGGAGTGTGTGATCCCTTAATAGCTATAGTAAGAATGTCTCAAGAACAATGGCCAAAGCCACCAAAATTAGAGTTTCAGCAGAGGACACTCGACTTCCTTTTTTCCCTCTTTACTTTGCTGCATAGTAGTATGGTGTAGGCTCATCCTATTTTTTTTTTTAACTCTAATCCTGATGTAGTTCCCCACCCACCAAGGAACCATATTGTTTTGCTTTTAAAAACAATTTTAAAAATATTTACTGGTTGGGTTGGGCAGTGCATGCCTATAACCCCAACAGTTGTGATTTGGAGGCCAAAGGATCAGGAATTCAATATCATCCATTACATAGTGAGGCTGGATTGAGCTACATGAGACCTTGTCTTAAAAAGTACACATATGTGAGTGTGTGTGTGTGTGTGTGTGTGTGTGTGTGTGTGTATACAAATACATACTGGGAATCTAGTCTAGAGCCTTGAATATGCCAGGACTTCTTTTTAAATGGAAAATGGCTTAATAGACTACAATTTGATGCTCATTGTTATTGGAATGTCATTTCTTTCAGAAATAGGATACATAGATGACATATATTGTTGACTTATGCATGTACATACATTTACATCTATTTAAATCGCTGCATCTGTGTACATCCTAAACCATGATTTCATAGAGGTATCCCTAGTTCTAGTCCATGGCCACAGGGTGCAGGCTAGCTTGCTCCGCTTTCCCCCATGTAACTGTGTTCCTGTGCAGTACGAAGCCTGGCTTTCATTAGCTCAGAATGTTTATCTCTCTGGTCAGCCCTCTGCACAGCCAGGATACTGCTGCGTCCTTTACTGTCTTCCTCCCTCTACCTTTTGTAACCCTCTTCTAGCCCAAATGCTTGTGTCCTCTTGAAATCTATGGGGCTTAAATTCTAAATCCTCCGAGAAGTGATGTTAGGAGGCCAGGCTAGGCTCTGAGAGAGGTCACTAGGTTTCTGTGAGATCATGAGGATGTAACCTCTAGGATGAAGGTAATGCAAGAAGAGGGAGAGACCCCGAAAGCTGCCTTTCTACATATTATCTTATAGAGGCCATGTGGTTTGTGGTACGGCCGGTCTCCAGCTCTGCAGGTTCAGTATCCTCAGGATGAAAATCAATACAAGAAGACTTACATCTGTATTGAATGTGTGTAAGCTTTTCTCCCTTGCTGTTGACATACAGTCCACTCTGTTTGAGATGTTATGTGCAAAGCAGACAGTGTACTTTCTGAGCTTTGCTCAGCTCTGTGAAAGCGGTTGAATTTTCAGAACTGAGAAATAGCAGAAACAGTGGCACTGGGACCTCAAGTGCCCACTGGTTTCTTTGGGAGCATTTCTAAGTGCCAGATGTGTTTTAAAATTACCAAGGTAGATAGTGGACACCAAACTACATATCTAAACTCTTTTGGCACAGCCTGTGAGCCAGGCGGTGCCCTTTTCTGTTGTTTGTTTGGGGTTTGTTGTTGTTTGAGACAGTCTCACTGTGGATCCCAGGCTGGTGGAGAACTGAGAAAATATTTACTCTCTGCCTTTTTGCAGAAAGCTGCCTGGCATCTGCGTTTCCCTATGAACATCTTGCATATCAGTTAACAATACTTTGATTTCCCGACTTTAATGCTGATCTCAGAAACAAGAGTTAGAAACATGACCCGGGACCTCCACAGGGTGACAGGCTACAGTCTTGATGGTCTAACCTAGTCTGGCTCTTTTCCCACGGTTGCATTTTCCTGGGACAGGGATTTTTGGGTCTCTATGGGAGAGAAGCAAACAAATGCTGGGTTAAGCTTTCACTTCTTCCACGCAGTGTGGGATGTGTGGAATTTCCCTCATTATAGAGAAAATCGTTAACTTGGGTTTATTTTGCATTGTCAGTGAGCCAGACGAAGGAGGGATGCGCCTGGACGTTTCTATAACTCCCACCTCACTCTTGATGCGGACACCTGATGGCTGCACCGAGACCCAGCTTCCAGCAGAGGTCAGGCTTGTGCCTTCCTCGTGCCGAGGCTTGCAGTACATCCGAGGAGATGGGTTGCATCTGCGTCTGCAGGCCCACACTGAATCAGGCCCACGTGAGTAGGAGCGGCATCTCAGATGGATGTTGACATTCGTTGAGTTAAACTTTCCCCAGGTGAAAAGAATCATTGACCTGGAAGGGCTAAGGGATTGAGAAGCTCCAGGGTCGTGAGCCACTCTGCCAGTTACCAGCTGTGTGACGTGAAACACGTCACGTTATCACTTAACTTTTCCAAACCTTCACTTCTTTAAGTATGTATTTAAGAGCCCAGTTTGCTTCTTTAATCAGAAATGTCTGGCTCACAGATATGAGGGTAAAATCATAAAGCAGTTGTCCAAAACCTGGTTGGTTTTAAAATATTGCATAGATATGTATTCACTCAGCAGACAGGATAGATAGCTCAAAGTAGGTGTGAGCCGTTTGATATGGGTGCTGGGAACAGAGACGCCAGCAGGCTACAAAGGCCTCCGAGATTGTGGAGTGTATGTTCTGATGGGCGGGAACTTCGGATGCTGACCACATAATTTGCATACAGCAAAATGCTGTGGGGAAAAAAGGCAGAGTAATGCCATGGAAGTTATGAATTTGGTGATGGCTGCCTGAGGGTGAGATCATTTGACCAGAGAACTGGGCAGGGGGAATTATCCCATCTGTGCAGAGACCATTCTAGAAGGATAATACACGTAGAGGACTCAAAGTTGCATGTGAGGAATGATATGGTGTCATCACTGGAGTGATTGTAATTGCAGTGTTGGTGATTGCATACAAACTCAAAATGTATATCGATACAGATAAGTGATTTAAAAAAAAAAAAACCTTCTTTTTGTAAGATCTTGTGATTCTTTTTTTTTTTTTTTTTTTTTTTTTTTAAACATTTTTTTTTTTCTATATTTTTTTTTTTTGTTTTTTTTTTTTTAAACATTTTTTTTTTTCTATATTTTTTTTTTTTGTTTTTTTTTTTTTAAACATTTTTTTTTTTCTATATTTTTTTTTTTTGTTTTTTTTTTTTTAAACATTTTTTTTTTTCTATATTTTTTTTTTTTGTTTTTTTTTTTTTAAACATTTTTTTTTTTCTATATTTTTTTTTTTTTTTTTTTTTTTTTTGATACTGGCTCATTGTATCTCTTACAATGTCACGAATGCTGTAGATGAGGAAAATACTGTGAAAGGGGAACCCCAATTGGAGGAAACGGAGTTGCTGCTTCATATCAGAGAAAGACCTTAGTTCTTTCTGTCATTCCAGAGGCTTCGTTGCTGAGCCATCTTTAGTAAGCTCTTCATCAGAACATTGTGGAGCCTGGAGGTGGGGACAATAAGATTGTCCTAAGAAGCCTGTAAGAGATGTAATGTCATCCTCTGGTTTTTGAAAGTCAGGAGAAGATAGAGGGAATGTCACCTATTCTTTTGCCCAAGACTAATTTTGCTAATGTTCTGAATTAGTGAATATATAGAATCCATTTTAGAAACAAGGGACAGGGTAAAAGAGATGTCATGTCATGCCCAGAATGACATTGAATACTGGAAAGCAGGGTGAGGTCACCAGGATAGGAACATAGACCAACTGCCTCCCTGACTGTACCCACATTCTGGGATGGAGGGGCAAGTGTGGATCTTTGATGTCCCATTTTCCTGTTGGCAACAATAAGCACAGCAGGAATGTCCTGTTGAGTTTGGAAACCAGCAAAAGGCAGGCCTGAGAGCCACCGTGTTTTCTAGGACTCTGATATTAAAGATAGAGGAATGGGGATGTCCAGGGATGTAATGGGTGTGTTGCCCACTCATATTCTGTAACTGAGTTATTTTTAACATTTTCAATTAGCAGCATTTAATACTGACTGCGGACACAATGAATCCACTGCTGTGTTGGTTTTCATACTGTTGGTGTTTGTTGGACTGTTTCTTTATGTGTTTGAAACATTTTCCCTGGAAAGGGAAACTCTCAAAGCCTGCTCTGTGGTGCATTCAAGGCTCCGTAAAGCAGATTCTTCCGTCTTTAATTGCTTTATTGCTTTCTTCAGAATAGGTGGGGAATAAGGATTTGCCGAATGAATGATTATCAGGTGGGAGCATACTGGTGTGTGTGGAACTCTTAAGCGTTGTAGGAAGCAACTTTTGAAATTTTTAGCATTTGCTTGTGTCTCAAGATCTTAAAGAGTTAGTTGCCTTTTCAACTTTTAGGGAGCACTCATGACACACATCACCCTGGCACTCTGTTCTGAAGTTGATGTAGATGAAATGGTGACCTTTGGGGCGCAGCATATGATCTATTAATCTTCCCCAGCAGCCTTGCCCATCTAGGATTCCATGCATGACTTATGGCCAGCAGAGGGCAGTGTTCCACTGAAAATTGATTTGTTCTGAAGCATACCTTGGAGGGCTTACCTAGGTCTTCTTTAGAGGTGCTCAGCATTGAAGAGTAATACTGTTTATTTAACCTTCATGCAGGAGGGATTTGCAGAGACGCTTAGAGATTAAACTGAAGACTTTTTTAATTGCCAGGACTTAAACTTTCTGGCATCTTCAAAAGCATTTTAAAGTGCATACAAAGTAACACCAAACAGATTCTATTGCTTGCTTGTAATAACTATGACCTCATTTCTTTGATTAGGGTTTTTATAGACAAATAATCGAGTGGTTTTTATTTTAAATAAAAATCTCCTTTATTTACAAATGAAGCATCGGAAATGAGCGATGCAAGCTATCCAGTGCCACTAGATAGACAATCTAGACTTCCCCACAGCTCTCAGTATCTCCCCTCCCTCTCATCCCCATCCCCCAAAGTTTCATTAGACACTGGATTTTGCTCTTGAATAAAGACACTCTTAAGGGCTTCGAATTCTTTGGACCTGTTCCACAAAGACCAGTCTGGATGTCCATTTTGCTTGCTCGTACTGTTTAACATGCAGGGGTGGATATAAAACTGAACCATAAGACAAAATCCAGATTGAACTTAAATTTTAGCCTACACTCATTGTTAATACAGACTTTCTCATATTTATAGAGATGAGAGAGGAAACCCACCAGTATGTTACACGGTAATCTAGGGCAATGCCTGGCTCAGGAATACTAAGCAAAATCTGTTGTTTTTGGAAACACTTCACAATGTTTGCTTCTGGTTGAGTCATCGGATAGTGCTAATTAAGCCTATACTTTTGAGTAAATCATAAACAGTGTGTCGGTGGTAATTTATTGTGCTAGTTAATCCTTTAAATCTGATGTAATATGTTTGTTCCAAATCTCTAAGACTTGCTGTTTTGCTGATGTCCTCTAGAACCGATTTCAGTGTTTAACCAAAGCTTGCAAGCTCAAGGACGCTGCACATTTTATTGCCAGTCCTGCGGTGACGTCACGATAAAGGACAGGTAAGCATGTATCGAGCCCTGATTAGAACTGTGCCTGGGGATGGTTTCTGGAGACAATTACCAAGGGAACGGCAGGGCCCTTGAAATGAGAGCCAGTTTAGTGTCACTTTGAATAAAGTGAACCCTGACTCCCACCATGACCATGGAGGGGAACAGTGTGGTCTGAGGAGGAAGCTGGTCGTGGTGGAAGAGCCTGAACTGATCGCTGAGCAGAGAGCCATGGAGTCATCTCTCATGTGTCCCTTTTGTTCTGATATTGTGGGAATGTTTCCATAGATAGTGAATTTTCTACCTGCAGGAGCAAGACTTGATCTGAACTGGTTCCATCAGGGCCTTCTAAAACCCATTTCACAGTCCCCTGCTTATTAAGATGGAGCATACAGAGCACAAATTAACCTTTTCTCAGTGATTAGGTTAATCTTGTAACCCGCTCTGGTGATGTGCTGTAATTATGGAGAAAGGAAGGGCTCGTTGCTAACTTCCTTAGCATTCCCAAGTTGGCGTCTCCTTCTTCTTTTTTAAAATGTGTTCTCTTCTTCAAGTCACCATTCTGGTTTCTTGGGCATAAATGCTTCCTCTGAATTTTCAGCTTCTAGTGACTCATGTAGAAGATAGATGAAAACATTATTACTGTTAGCATTATTTAGAGGACGAATTCTTTGATGGATTTTCTAAGTTGGGTACCTGAGACAAGCAAGTGATGCTTCCTTTCTGAAGCCTGCTCCTCTTTCAATGTCCTTGGTTCCATAATGCCAAACCTCTGCCAAGCAGATTTCTTCCTGCTCCCCATACATCATCACCAGGCACTTTGGCCATTGCTGTTAGAGTGGAAATCACTTTCCTCTGCCCACTGTCTTCTTACCTAATGACACTTGGTCAGCAGCCTGCTGTCTGCTCAGCCTCCGTCTTCCTTTGCTCTGTGCAGATGCACTGCCCCACCACTAGTAGGTGTTATAATGCAAGGTTGACTTTCTGGATGGAGAACTGGAATCCTTTGCCCCCCTGTACTCTCTCCAATTTCAGCTCTTCCTTTAGTCTTCTCCTTCTTCACCAAGCTCACTGGTATCACGTGGCTCAGGCCATGAGCTTGTGTTCCATAGCCTTGGCAGCTTTTCTTCACCCTGAGGCTGCCTGAAAGCTACTCCCCTTCCTGAATGCACCTCCTATCCTTCACCACTCCCTGGTTTGCTCCCAACCTAAGCATTTAGAACTCAGCTGACATAGCATCCACTACTTCGAGGCCTTGTCTCCTTCCTGGGTTGCATTAGATACTCTTCTGAGGTCCATTTGCCTGTTTTCACATAGTGTGGGCTTGAGGATAGATAGCCACACTGACTTCCATGCCCTTTATTCCTACTCTCTTGATTGTATAGTATAGGAGTCATGGCCAGCAGTGGTAAGATGGAGTTTCCATCCAGCATCCACTAGCTCAGTGATCTTGGATAAGTTATTTAATCACTCTTCTAGTGTCCTTTGTGAGAACATGTAGCTAACAATAGGCCTTATCTCATAGTGCTGTTGGTAGGATCTGATGATTCAAGTGTTTCCAGCAGTGCCTGGTACAGGGTCAGCATTCGCCATGTGCTAGCAGCTGGGGCAGTAACCATTATTCTTACCAGCATCCTCAGCATCAGGCATGGTGCCTAGAGGAAAAGTGTGTTCTTAGTAAGTTTTTGCCGGGTTGAATGTAGTAAAGCATGGTGTGTTTATTTTGGCTTCCCACCAGCCTCTCTTGCCTGCCTCCTGATCTTGGCAGTGTTCCAAGGAGATGAGCTGGCACAAATGCACCCTCAAGGTTTGAGGAGGTTACACACAGAGCTTCTTTTGAGTGACTGGCAAGAGTAAGAAATGAAGGGGTCTTGCATCTCCAGAGATGAAGTTGCTATGCATCTTGCACTTGGTGGCAGACCTATGTCTCAAAGATCCAAAAGATCTCTGGGTATTTTGGCCTTGTCTCAGTCTGTTTCAGGCTTTGGTTTAATTCTCTGATCAAGTTTCTGAGACATCTCATCCCATGCCACATGGGTGATCTGGAAGGTACAGTAGGAGCGGTGACATTCTTGGTGCTCATTACAGAAGGGAAATGCTGTTTCTTTACTGCCTGGAGTTTGTGCTTCCCTGGGGAAGGATGCCCAGGCTCACTACAGTGCCTGTCTCTCTATTCAGGACTGTAGTCTTCGGTTTTGTGTCAGTGGTTCTAAAATTGAGACCTGGAAGGTTGTGGGGCTGGTGGTGAAAGACAGTCTTCCTTCTTGCCTATCAGGAGGCTTGGCATTCTGTTCCTCTCCGGAGAATGGTGCATGGGTGTGAGCTTCCATTCTCTCACTCACAGGGCAGAGGACCTTGTCTGTACCCCCTGGACTTCTGCTAGTAAAGCCTTCTAATAATGCATGCTTTCCAAACTCACCAAGAGAGCTAAGCAATGTTAGCACATATAACAGAGTAAATGCTCAGCAAGCTTTGTAATTGGTTTTATTGATTCCTTCTCCCCTTTCCAGATTGTTTTTATTAGTAAACTAGCAAATGACCTCGTTTAATGTCTCAAACATTTTGGGTTGAGGACTGTGGCACACGTAGTCTGTAGGTTTCAGAGTGAGAAGATGAACACTGACCTTTCCCCCACGCTATCACAGCACACCTATATATCAAGCCTCTGTACATGTCTTGAGCAGTACAGGTAGTAACTTGCTCAAGGTTTGTATTCATCTCCATCTGAGACAGTATGCCCTGTGATTCTGGATGGATTTCCCCCTAGTGTCTGCTCATGGATCTCACAACTTACTGTTGAAACCAATCCTGGCACTCTGTTCTTCTTCCTTGGTGACCTGTTCTGTAAGGTTGCTAAGGACTACTTTGGTGCTTCCTGAAAACAAAGCATGGCTAGAGGTGTTTCAAGTGAGCTGATCTGTGTTCTCAGCAATATCAACGAATTCTAAGCAGCATTCTCAGGAAGGTATCTAATGTTATTAACTGCTTTCTTTTAAATTTTTATTTTATTTTATAATGTGCTTGTGTATGCCTGTATGTGGTTATATGAAGGTGTGCATGCAGTTGCCTGGAGCTGGAGTTATAGGTGGTTGTAAGGCACTCCACATGGGTGCTGGGAGCTGAGCCCAGGTCCTCTGTGAGAGTGGTATGCTCCTAACTGTTGAGCCATTTCTCAAGCCTTCTTATATGGGAATAAGTTATGTAGGTTTGGGGCATTCTTTATCTGTAAAATGAAGAAGTTGGGATAGAGAAACCTGTGAAAGCTTCATCAACAAGAAACTCCTCTGATCATTGAAACTCAAGAGCTATGCTCTGGGCTTCTGTGACTCTTGAGTATCTGGCTAGTTCAAGGCTAAAGCATGTTCTATTCTTTCCTTTTGAATAGGAAAAATTCTTATCAGAGAAAGAACAGAAATAACATATAAAGACATCGACTCGGAAAGACTTGTTAATGGTTCTCATTTTCAGCCCCAGAGTATCTAAGCCCTTGGAATTATTACGGCCTTTCTCTTTCTTCAGGGCTACATATTCTTAGCCAGTTTGTTTTGTCGGTATGTTAATTAACAACACCTTGTTTCTTTATAAGACAGTTCTCCAATTTATAATTATTTTAGTTCAAGTTTTCCTACAAAATTTGTCTGAATATGTGCAAGTTTTTGACTATGTTCTTGTTGAGGCCAAACAGTTCATCCTATTAGGTAAGGACCGATACATTTTCCATTTTTGTAAATAGTCCAGTAAACAGCTAGAGGTTGTTGTGTTTAGAGTTTGTTATGCTCTCTAGAAATAGATTCATGTTAGACTAGAATGACATTGGTGACGAAACAGATTTTCCACACGCACCTTGGTTTTCAGACTGTCCATGACATTGTCCTGAGGTCTGTGGACCAGATCCTACTGTCACACACACACACTGGCAAAACTCAGTGTCAGCCCCAAGCTCATAGAGGGTGGGGGGGACGGGACACTGAAACTCTAGGAGAACAGCAGGATGGGCTTTGTGGACACAGATGTCACAGTGTCCACCTGCTTGAGGGAGCCACTTGACAGGCCAGCTCTAATTGTAGCTGAAAAGAGATACGCTTGTGAATATCATCACTTGTTTATAAAGGAAAAAATACAGAATCAGGCTTTGGTTACATTATAGACCACATGCTTGCATGTACAAAGCATGTTCAGTCCCTGTCATCCTGCTCCCTAACCCCCAAAAGGGATTTTTTTGTAAACTGGCCTTTTGGCAACATTGCATACATTTAGGAATACGATTATATATTATAGATTAATTATGATATGTACAGACAAATATTAGAATGTAAAGCTAGTTTTTTCCTTTTTTTTTTTTTGTTTTTTTTTGTTTTTTCGAGACAGGGGTTCTCTGTGTAGTTTTGGAGCCTATCTGGCACTCGCTCTGGAGACCAGGCTGGCCTCGAACTCACAGAGATCCATCTGCCTCTGCCTCCCGAGTGCTGGGATTAAAGCCGTGTTCCACCAACGCTCGGCCTAGTTTTTTCTTTTTATTATTTTTTTACTTTTAAAACAATCTTATTTTACATACCATTCCCAGTTCCCTCTCCCTCCAGTATTCCTGCTCCCCCATCTTCTCCCCACCCCACCACCATCCACTCCTCAGAGAGGGTGAGACCTCCCTTGGGGAATCAACAGAGTCTGTCATATCACTTGAGGCAGGACCAAGGCCCTCCCCACTGTATCTAGGCTGAGCCAGGTATCCCTTCATAGGGAATGGGCTCAAAAAAGCTAGTTCATGCACTAGGGAAAAAATACTGGTTTCCTTGCTACTGGCTCCACAAACTGCCCAAGCCACTCAACTGTCACCCACATTCAGAGGGCCCAGTTCTGTGTAAAGCTAGTTTTATAGCACTGGTGGCCTGCCTGTTGGATAATAATACCTGAATTTACTTAAACTCTCTGGTTGCCACATTTTGAGCTGTAAGTATTTGATATTTTTTCTTAGAATCTTTAATGTTCATTTGGTTATAATCAAATCTTTAATATGTTCTCTGGTATTGCCATTATTATTGTCATTGATTGGAAGCTGACTTCAAAGTTAAGGGATATTATATTTTCTTCCACATCTGTTTAAGTATCAAAACTTCATCAATAGCTTTTATTAAAGTTATGTTTCATGTCATTACTTTCCAAAGGTTTATACTTCAAATGAATCAAAAATCTGTAGCAAACGCTAATTTATTGTAAACATGAACTGTTCCTCACATAATCTTAAGTCTAGAGGAAAACCTACGTTACTGCTTCCCTTCCTTTCTTTCCAGCAGATTTTTAGCTAAACTACCTTGAATTAAAAGGTAAAGTTTCTGTTTTATTCGAACACTCTTAGGAAGTAGATGACATCAAAATACACTTTTCAGTGTTTTTTTTTTTTTTTGACCTGTGACTAAAATACATCTTTTCTTCTTAAAGGTTTCATTTCTGCCCCCATCAGAAAAATTTCTTTCTGGCTGTAAAAACCCTTTAATTTTTGCAATGAGTTTGTGAATTACACACTTCTTTCTGCTGCCTGCTGTAGGCGGTTAAAGGGTACATTACAGCCTTTATTCACTGTGATGTGGGGTCAAGTTAACTTTGAAATCTCCTATTTTGTGTTAATGTGCATCAATTCTCCTGGGTCTTTGTGCACTTTCATTTCTTTGGTCATGCATGGTTCTTTGATGTTCTGTCTTTTTTCATTGTATTGAGGTCCCTTAGGCACAATGTCAGGAGGCAGAGAGTCTTAATAGAGAAGATCCATGAAGCTACAAATGCCGGATTCTTGCATTCACTTCCCTCTGTAAAACACTGTGATAGGCAGGGCGTTGGTGGCGCATGGCTTTAATCCCAGCACTTGGGAGGCAGAGGCAGGTGGATCTCTGTGAGTTCGAGGCCAGCCTGGTCTCCAGAGCGAGTGCCAGGAGAGGCTCCAGAGCTACACAGAGAAACCCTGTCTCGAAAAACAAAACAAAACCACTGTGATAGTTCTACCTATTGTTAGGGCCTCAACTTTTCTTTATTTTATCTATCTATCTATTTATTTATTTATTTATTTATTTATTTATGTATTTATTTATTTTAGGGTCTCAAATTTTCATGCAGGTAACTCCCTACAGAAGGTGTGGCCATTCACCTGTTTGGCCTTTACTGCTGCCCTGTATTGTCAGAGAGGTGAATGTATTCTAAGGGGAAGGGTGGTTTTAGAGTCAGAAAGACCTGGATAAAGACCCTTGCTTCAGTTTTCACCTCTAATTCTGTGGACTTGTGAAGATTATTTCACACTCCTAAGTCTCTTGTGTGACAGGAGCGTTGTTGGTTTTGCTCACAAAGTGCCCTGAGCATTAAATATGTGCAGTGCCCCCAGGGCTCTTAGTGCTTCTGCTCATGCAGAGTCACAAGATTACTATAGGACACATCTGTCCTGGCCAGGCAGCATCAAGAATTCCTCTCTGACCCATGGCCAAACACTGGGCCACACTTGGGAGTCCTGCTGAGGAGAGGGATTGTAGCAAACAGGGAGGGACATCACAGGAAAACCCACAGAAAACACTAGCCTGGCTCATGGGAACTCATAGAATCTGAGCCAACACCCAGGGAGCCTGCATGGGACTGACCTAAGCCCTCTCTATATATGTGACAGTTGTGTAGGTTAGTCTGTATGTGAGACTCCCGGCAGTGGGAGCAGGGGCTGTCCCTGGTGCTTTAACTGGCTCTTGGAAACCTATACCTCATGCTGGATTGTTTTGCCCAGCCTGAATACAGGGGACCGTGCTTAGTCTTATGGCAGCTTGATATGCCGTGCTTTGCTAAAGCCCATGGGAGGCCTGTCCCTTTCTGAGCAATTACTAGGAGGTAATTGTAAGAAGGGAAGAGAGGAGAGGAGAGGAGAGGGAGCAGAGGAGGCTGTGGTTGGGATATAAAATAAATAAATACAAGTCTTAAAAAGGAATCCCTATCTGCATGGGCTTTGCTGCAGTCCATGCAAGTGATAGTTGATATTCTCACCGGGGGACCCTTGTCTCCCCATGTGACAGAGTTCTGGGGACGGAGCACAAGATCCACATCAGGTGTGGTTGTTGCTTTGGCTGAGAAGTTTCACTTGCCCTGAGCAGACAGTGTCTTGTTACAGTTCTTTGGTTGTGGCTTTTAGGGCTTTACCGAGGTGACCTGCATTCAGGGAAGGTCAAAGCACACTAACTTACCACATGTGTGCAGCTCATTCATAGATCTTCCCAGTAAGATGCAATTTACGAATCATGGATCGTTTCTACTGTAAGCAGTGTTGCCTAGCAATATATATGATGCCTAGGATCTTACCTGGTTTCCAGGGTAACGAAGCTAGGTGGTTATTCCAAAGGTCAGATACTCAGGCAGCAAGGGAAGAGGTTTGTTAATCCTTGCACCCCAGAATGCAAGCAGAGCCAGCCAGGAGCCTTATCTGTCAGACTTACCAAAATATGCTACTTCATTCCTTCAAGAAAGACTTGAGAAGTGTGTCAAACAGTAGGAATACCTTGCAAAGATAAAGAGATGTGGGGCCTGCCTTTATGCTGTTTCTTCTAGTGCCCTAAATTTCTTTCATTGCCAGAGGAACTCCTGATTTATTATCCTTCAAAGGCCAGCTCAGAAATTACCTATTCTCTGAAGTCAATAAACAGAATATGTCCTTAGTATTCTCTGTCTGTCCACCCAGTATGCATGATCTGGTTTAGGAGTACTCTGTCCCTTAAAAAGAAAAGGTAGACTTTGTGTTTATGTGGGAATGTGTGCTTGGGGAGGGAGCTGATGCTTCCATCGCATTTGCACTGGGATCTGTGCTGTCACCTTCCACCAGGAGGGTAGAACCTCATCACTCTATTGTGAGCTTTGCTATGCACACCTTTGCTTACTGTGTGTGGTCTGTACTTCCTACTAGAGTCCCTTAGAAAGGGAGAGACTGTGCATATGTGTTTGGGTGTCATATAGCAGGCCAGCATATTGCCCAGATCATAGCAAGCTCTCAGAAGTGCATGTTGAAAGAATCACCTGTCAGTATCCTCCTGCCTCAGCAGTCAAAATGATGCTGGTGGTGCCCCGTTTGAGTCAGCACTTCTATTCCTAGCTCTGTCCTGTAGAGCTACAAATTGAATGGCTACCCTCTTCCAATCTGTCATTATCCTTTTATGATACTCATAGTCGATTGGGAGAACCTAAGAAAAATGGCTAACATGATAGGGGGAATCATTCAAAAAGAAATAAAAGAAAATCTGTTTAATGGAAATGACACTATCGTATCCTAATTATTTTAACTTAACTCTGATCTTCAAAATACACATTGCTTTATTTGTATTTTACTAGTAAGAGAAACAGGAGATGTCACCTTAAGCAAAAGATCAAGGTTAGCATCACCAGGAGTAAACTATGCTGATGTAGAGGGCTGTGACATGATGCAATGAGAAGGAAGGCTCCCTGTTCTCCAGAATGCTTTCCCCAAGTCTGTGGCCCAGACTAATCTAGAGACAGCACCAGAGAAGCTCTCAGTAAGAGGTGTTTTATAGACTGCCGAGAAATGCACGCTTAGAAACTGTCACAGACCAGAGGAGGCCTGGATTATATGATGACTAAATGCAGTATGTGCCATGTATTATTGTACCCTGGAAATGAAAAGACAAAACAAAAAAACAAAACAAAACAAAAAGACTTTGATGAAAAATCTGGTGAAATCTAGATAAAGTTGATGGGTACCCCATCACTGTGGGTACCCAAGATGTTAATTGGAGAAAGTGGGGGAGAGCATATATATATAAGCTATCCATAGATTGTATATGATCTCTGCAATGTTTTTGTAAACCAAAAAATATTCAACAATAAAAGTTTATTATTAAAATAGAGAAGAGGAAGAAATTACAGAAGACAGTGATATTTCTTTAATATCAACAAACCAAATTTTAAAAAAGAAAATAACTCTTAAATATTTATAACAATTGTTAGTAAAAGGGTATATCCTTATTATGGAATGCATTTTTGAAAATTAATGAAAATATGTTGATATCATCTCAAGAAGTAGTTATTGACCACTATCCCCAGAAGAAGTGATCAATAAATGTAAAAATCAGTCCTGTCTCACTAGTAATTTAAGTTGCTAATTAAAGCAGCATTAAATATGCTTTCAGCTTGTTCCAAAAGACTGTTTAATTAAGACTAGGTTAACCCTATGTGGGAAGAAGCTCGCCTGCTTACAAGATGTTTTCCCCCAAGAAATAATCAGATTTCTATATAAATCTTCCAACAGGAATATTCATCTCAGGGATATTGATTAAGAACTCAAAACTAAATATCTGACAGTGAGGGAATGAACTAGAAAGATTTGACATTCCCATAGACAGTTGTAGAGTCATTGGGCATCAGGACCTTTTGAAGAAAATGAAAACAAAGTTCTGTCAGTGTCTTCTCAGGGCAAGGCCTCCCCTGTGTGTGCACTGTGTCCATGGAAAATATGGCAATGAAAATTCTGTCGTGTTAGAGGAGCTGATTTGTGAAAGTGAGCAAAGGGAGGCTTCTGCCTCCTTTATGCCTCTTTGCAGTTTGTAAAACATTGTCTATAATGAGCATATATTACTTTCATAATTGGAGGAAAATTGACACTGCAAGCATGTGGCTAATGAGTTTCTTTCTTCTTTCATGCTGATTTAATTAAAAAAACATTGCATTTTATACAGTGGAAACAAAATTCTGTTTTCCTCTTTCCACTAGGAAGCTCCTCAGGGTGCTCCCACTGCCGAGTGAGAACTGGGGAGCTCTCGTTGGAGAGTGGTGCTGTCATCCTGACCCCTTTGCTAATAAGCCTCTACATCCACGAGAAAATGACTGTTTTATTGGGGACACTTTCTTCTTAGTGAATTTGAGAAGTGATTTGGAGCAGGTAAGGGTTGAACTGAAGGCTTAAATTGGTAAAAATATCTTCACAAAATACATGCTACCTTAGAGGTTGATTTAGATACCAATTGCCCTGCTTTTATTTTAATTCAAGATTTGTTGAAGAGATTGTTCTAAAAGCACCAGGTTAATGGCTTCTGTTCTCCAGCTCTTTGGATAGAGGAAAGGCTTTAAACTCAAGCAGCCACGAAGGTCTGGAGGAACAGACCTTCATTTATTCATGCATGGATTTGGGAGTGTCACTGCACACATAATACCCTACTTTCAGGCCACACTCTGTAATCTGTCCATTTTAATCTCAAAAATCTCAGTGGAAGTACAGGAGTGTTAGCCCAGGATATCCACTTTGCAATTAGACCCAGGTATCTTACTGTGTTTGCCTACCATGTAGGCGTTCACTGATGTTGGAAAAGTGAATGCCATAAAAAAATAAACAAAATAAACAACTACAACAAAACAAAACAAACCAAAAAAACAAAGCAACACACACACACACACACACACACACACACACACACACACACACACACACACACACACACCTATACATATGAGCCCTGGAGTGGGGGAGCTGTGGGCCTGCACTAA